AATTTGTACGAAGATATTTAAAATAGGAACTTGTTTTAAGAAAATATCTCCCCGATCACGTCTATGTTACTCCTTCCTGCATTACTTTTAAACTAGTTTCAAGTTAGCTTTTTGTGGCTTACTACCGTTTATATATTTTATAGAAATTCCGCAAAAAAGCTAACTACAAGTTTGTTATTTTTGATTATCTGATGATTGATAATTTTTTTCTGCAGGGGTATGTTCTACATATATATGTATATGTGTTCATGTTGTATGCAGCATAAATTGTATGAATGCATTTCATTAAGACTGCCAACATGACAACGAAAGAGGGCAGGAGTGCATCAGTTTTCGTTATCTAAAATAATATAATCACTTCATATGTATATCTAGTTATGTTTTCAAGATTATCAAAAAAAGTGCATATCGATACCTTGATATAGAAAGGCCCTAACTCATTTTCGTTCAAGATACAGTTTTGTATGAAAGTCGGTAGATTACTCACCAAGATCCTATTGAAACTTAAAAACAATTGCAACCACATAAAATAAGCTAAAGTTTTCAATAAAATACAGCGTTTAAAAGAAATAAGATCAAGACGCTTAAGTTTAAGTTTTTTGAACACTCCATAAAACACAAAAAATTTAGTTAGGGCGTTTCTATATTAAGGCAACGATATGTATGTACATTAGATGAGTTTTTTCTAAAGAAGAGGAATACGAGGAAAAAGAAGAAGAAGGGGAAGACAAAGATGAAATTCCAGAATATCTGTTGGACGAAATTATCGACCTTTCTGATGATGATGACGATGACCAAGATATTAGAGAGAGCAGTGATGTCGATCCACAGCCGCCTGCTAAACGGCAACTGGCCAAATCATTAATTTAATTAATTTAATTTTTTTACTTAAAACTTTTCATAACTAACATTTCAGAATTATATTTTTTTCCATATTTTTATAATTTCTTTTTCAATGTTTCTTCAAAACCAACACTGAAAAAATTGGTACATAAGAAATGAGAAATAAATTAATATTAAGCTGGAAAACGCAAGTTTTGTATTATGATTGTTTTCTTTTCAAATGAAATTTATTGAAGAAACTGAGAAGCATATTATAGATCAAACAGAAAGCAAAAAAGACTTAGTTTTGTGGAAAATATGTTCAAAAAGGATGAAAAAAAAATTTCCAACATTTTGCTTCATAAGCACTACAAAAACATTCTAAATCAATTTTTTTTTATATTTTAATTGTTGCACAGGTCTCTAGCAATAATTTGGCTTTAACAGATTGAAAAAATATCAATTAGTCGACGAGTTATAGCCAAAAAACCATATAAATAATATGCTGAAAATCGGCATTTGACTGCAAAGTTCGAAGGTCAATTAAAAAAAAATTCGAACTAACATAAACAAACGCCGCGATACGGGTCTTCTAATTTATCCTCTATTTTCACCCCTCACTCTCGGAATCGACATAACTTTTGCTAACCTGAATTTGTTCCACAGTGTTATCATAACCAAAAGCTCATTTTTAATATTTCTTCGGTACTTTGGTTTTTTCTTAAATATTTATTACAAACATTCGCTATGCATGCTAGTTTATATGCATTTATAAAATCGATATGCATGTATGTATGCCATTTATCACAACTTGTTGGTATGTACATATGTATATTCGCATGTCTGTAGATGGGCGCTTTTAACAAAATCAAATAACATAAATCCTCTTGAGTGCGCGCATAAATGGTTTGTTGTGCAAATAAACGTTTTATTCCCTGACACACAATTACTTCCAATCACTGAATGACTATTGAAAGCGACAAAAAATAAATAAAACCCAAAACAACGAGAAGATCCTTAAGAAAATGGAAAACTTAAAAAAGTAAAAATTTTCTACGGCTGTAGCTCCTTTGAGGAAATTAACTCTAAAAGTCAATAGAATAGGAGAAACAAGTGGGAGACCGAAAGGATGTGATGAATGCAGTTCTATCTATACATACATACAAACACATCTACATACATACATATACATTTCTATGCGTTACTTGCCGATAAAAGCAGACACGAGGAGGCTGTCAGTCTATCATTTAGTCGGCCATTTGTTAAGTCAGTCTGTCAATAAGTATGTAGTAGCATAGCATTTTCATTCACCCACGCTAGTTGCAGTGCTAACGGTTTCGTATGCGCATATTTTAATAGTAAGTAGCTGCTTACGCGTAGTTTTATTTTTATATCTATTTAGTAGCACTTTTACACAATTGATTTCCCACCTTCACACATACATCCAATGCAATATATTCGTAGATACTTTAAGAATGGCCATGATGGCGTCGCTTCTCGAAGGATATTCGCTACCTAAACATTCGCTTTCATTCCGCTTTGTTTGTGAACTTGAAAGTGGCGCATTTAACGGAGATCGGGGAAAGTAAACATCTTCTGTCGTTTAACAAATAAAAGCACTTTGACTATTATCAACGATTTATTACGTGTATTTAGTGCAAAAGGAAATGGAAAAGAAGAAGGAAAGTGTGTACCAACTATTTCTCATGATTTGATGAAGCTACTAGAGGATACCTTTGGTTATTTGACAAGAAACGTTTGCACAAAGACAAAAGCAGTAAGATTGAACTGTTCTACATACATACAGTCAGTGTCAAATGTAAGTGTACAACTTGTTCTAATATAATACTCACAATTATTTTCATGACAATTTTTTTTCGCTAATTATTTACGAAAATATAGTTCATTCTATGAAATAAACCATTTAAATTAAAGTTTCATACTTTATATGAAGTTCATAAAAGTTCAAAAAATTTTCTAGAAAATTTCCGAGTACGCAATTTTGTGGCCCATTCAATTTAAGGTTAACGAAGTCCAAGTTTGAAGTCGATAGAAATCACCGTTGATTTTTTTGATTTTGTTTTTGTAACGCGTGATAAAAATCTATTTTGATATGAAAGAATATGCGCAACACCCTCCACAAAAAAAAATTCTAAAAAATCAACGGTAATTTCTAGAAACTAGAAAATTGGACTTTGTTTCACTAAAATTGAACGATCTGCGTACTCAAAAATTTTCTAGAAATTCTGAATAACAATTTTTGAGATTTTGATGAACATTTTTTTAATATTCGTGATTTTTATATAAAGTGTGAAATTTGGATTCATATGATTTATGTTATACAATGAACTATAATTTCAGAAATAATTAAAGAAAAAATTTTTTAATGAAAATAATTGTGAATAATATATTAGAACGAGATGTACACTTACATTTGACACTGACTGTACATATGTTTTCATATGTATTAAAAACTAGCAAAAACCCGGCGCTTTCCTTGCGCCGTTAAAGTATTTTTGTGTTTTTACTGCCTTTCACTAGATCCAAAACTCTTTGTTAATATTGTTTTGAAAGTATTTATAAATTAGGCAGATTTTTTAAAATTACAAACAAATTTGATTTAAGCTTTTTATTGGAAGATTGTAGGTATGTACTTTGACTTCCTTAAACTTCTTGTTTTTCTAATAAAAACGTCCGAATTCAGCATTTAGTTTAATGACCGATAACGGCTTGCATATATTTTTTAAAGTTTTCAAGATTTGGATAGCTTTAGAAAAATATTTTGGGAATTAAAAAAAAAATTGGATTTCGATATCTATTAAGTAAAATTTCTTACTCTAAAATTTAGGTGGCAACCCAATTCCGAAATACACTGGAATGAATGGAGGTCAAATCTAACAATTTAAATTTTAAAACCACTTGTAAATTCACTTGTTGCACAAATCAAAACTTGTGGGATTGAACATACATACATACAGTATTTATAATCATATACGTATGTATGTGCGTATAAGCCCGCATGAAAATGAGTTAGCACACTTGAACTACTTTATAAAAATAAAAATAAAATAAAATATAAAAGTTCACAACAGGAAAAAAAATTAAAACAACAACACAATTTCGAAACGATAAAGTTTCCATTTCATTGTAGTGAAATGAGTCGAGACCATTTGTGTTTTTTAGCTAACTCATCCTTGAATCGAACAAATTCTACGTCATCCAGCAATTGATAGTGTCAACTCGAAATGCTTCTGAGTTTGCCATGCCCAGCACTGCGACTTGTGTGTGGCAAATCGGGTATGCCCTCCTGACTATTTGATGATTTGGCCAATTCAAAGCCGCTTGCAGGCGAGCATAAACTTAAGCACGCCAACTTGCCACTTGCCACTTGTATCAGAACAGTTGGTTGCCTCTTTATAATAGACACTCACTTGTTGCTACAGTTCAAGAATAAAAAAAACCAGAGGTGGAGATTGTGTGAAGAAAGCAATGTGCAAATATCAGTTGCAGCTTTTATATCCTTGTAAATTTGTCTTCACACATACACACGCACAGACATACTGCTAAACTCATCAATGTAATGGTGTACGGCAAACTGAACCCAATAAGCTAAATAAATTCATTCATTGGAAGGACTTACAATTTTATTTTCGTGCGAGTAGCAATGGCAAAACTCAGCAAATTTTAATTAGTGCGCCTAAAACTATGCCGCATAGCATTGTTTTTACGCGCTTAAAGGATGACAACTGTCATTGTTTTTGTCATGAGCTAGGGAGTACGTGCCATCTACGTACGTTTGTCATCTTTTGTGACAAATAGTCCATTGAAATTGACATAAGTGAGCTGCCACTAACTTTAGAGTCGACTTTTTTTAACTTAATCCAACAAGTGTTCCTTAACCACAGCATAAATGCTCGCTGGGAATATGTTGATGAAAAATGCTGGTAGTAGAAAAAAAGGAGCAAATGTTAATACAACATTTTCCTATCCATGTGGGAGTTGAAAATGTGGCAAGAGTGATTTTATCATTGTTTGCTGCCTAGTTGTAGGCTATAAAAGCACCCTACATGGCATTAGGATCTTGCAGTTTCCTTTCAGAAATCGGCCCGATGAGTTGTCCGGAAAGTACGCGTTCGGTTTTAATTTTTTGTTTTCTCTATACCTAGAGTTTTTGTGGAAAGTAAAAATTTTGTGCATTTCTGAAATTTATAACCCATAAATTCAAAAAAAAAAAAATACAAAAAATGAGCGCTTCTGGCAAAAGTTTATTGGGACTATGGCTCTATCGCAGCGGTGAGCAGGAGTGGGCTGTGAAGCATGGTAGCCCGCTGCATACACTACGCAAAGAGCATCGCAGTCTTGTAAGCGTTTCGACAAAATTGTCTCTACATAAAAGAAAAATCCAGTTTGTGAATATAGTTTTATTTCAAATCGATTTAGGATAAGTCGAATTCTGAAAGCGGCAGTGAGAAAGGCAGTTTGGAATTAAGTGATGCAAATTCTCAAGCCATGTCGGGCGATCGTGTTTCTATAATTTTTACGCTGAAAAATCAAGTTGGCAATTTGGCCAGAGCATTGCAAGTTTTTCAGGAGCTGGGCATTAATGTCCTACATTTGGAATTATCTCCTTTGGAGAAAGCTAGCAACCAGGTGAGTTATCTGCTGTTAAATTAGATATACATATGTATGTAGATGCAACGTGAGGGGCTAGTTTTATTCCCTTAAAAAAAATGATCAACTCGAAAAGTGGCAATCTTGACAGGTAAAAGAAACCCGTTTTTTCGCAATTTTTTTTTTTTGATGGAAAAATTTAATTGAGCTTAACCCAATGTTTAATATGTTTTTACTATTGTACATTAGGGTGCCTCACCAAAAAAAAACAAAATTGTGGGTTTTTCCATCTAAAGAATTTCGGAAAAATATTAAAATTCTCGTGAAATGGAACGATTTGAAAATATTCAAAAATATCATAATTTTGATTATGTTGATACATTTTTTGAAAATTTTTATGCAGATCTTTAAGCTTTAACTCTTCTATCATCTGAGGGGATTTTTTCGACAAATATTTTATTAAGTTAATTTTATTTATAAAAAACTAGATTTTTGTGGGTGTTTTCAAAAAGATCCAGCTCACGTATCGCTAATTCCATGCGAATAAATTGTTCTCATGATTTGACATGCAAAGCAAAAGCAAATTGGAGAAAATTGTATTTGTTTTGCTTTATAATTTTTGGGAATATTTGTTTTTTGACTCCGATGAAAAAACCGGCATTGCTTTTTTTGTGGAGAGTGATGCACCCTAATGCACATATATGTATTAGCGCTGCTGAAAGAATTTTTTCAAATGATTTGACGACATTAAAATTTGTAGAATGTCGCAGCTCACAATTTTTGTCTGCCGGGTTCGACGTGCGCGATTAATCGAGGTGCGAACTTTCACTTCGTAGGACCAAGATCCGATCCCTGGTAATAACGGTCGCACAGTGTGGAGAAGAACTTTTTTTGTGACAAAATCAAATATCTGGAAATAGAGAAAAGACTGGGAAATAAATGCAAGCTTTTGAGATGAAGAATTCCAGAAAAATAGTCCCGTTTCATAAAAAAAACTAGCTTGACCTTTAATATGACCTTCGAAATAGAAGGTTTTTAGATTTTTTCGTTTTTTGAGTTGAAAAGAGTGTAATCAACATTTTAAAAGTTTTAAACACATATTTTTCTTGTTCTTGCGTCAAGGATTCCAAGACCGTAAGAATTGAAAAATGCTTTAATTTTTGCTTTTTCTAGGTCTAAAGAAAACAAAAAAATCTTAAAATTTAGCTTTAAAGGTAATTTGAAACGTCTGATTGAATGAGCAATGGCCCTTAAACCGACCTTCAAATGTAAAATGCTTGAATTTTACTATTTTTTTTTTACCTAAAAGCAGTTTTCAGGTCAAAAAAGAAAAAAAAACTTGTACGAGTTTTATTTTTAAGGGTAAGGTAGTTTTTCTTTAACCAACGAGTTTATTTTTTGTGAATTCTCCATGTCAAACAAAAAAAAAATATCCTGATACATATTATATTTTGTCACAAGCAAAAAATTGTTTTCCACACTGTGCGTCACCCTTCGACTGTAATTCTCTGCTATGAAAAAGCTTCTCACAGAAACCCATTTGCCGTTCGGAGGCGGTATATAATGTATGAAAATTTTGCGGATAAAACTTAAATTAAATTTCTTCAAGCCACCAACCGATTGTTGAATTATTGAGATTTTCGAAATAATTTTTTTTTTAAATTTTTAAGCCTTTTTCTGCAACGCTAAACCCTAACACAGCGTATACTCCTTTTATATCCTTCATATATATCTTTGGCCCGATGTTTGTAAGTACCAAGAAGAATAAGAAATAGACCAATGAAAACGTATACCAAAATGATCAGTTGTCGAAAAATCCGACTGAAGTTCGGTAAGCGGGTGTCTTTTTATAATGTTTTAATCATTTGTCAGAATCGACAAAATCGGACCACTATAATATACATACATATAGCCCCCATAGAACCGATTGTTTAGATATTCGATTTTGCATTACAGCCTCTCCATTTAATAGCACAGCAATGGGTTGAAGTTAAATTTTCTGCGCTTCATGAAAGGTATAAAGCCTTCAGCATAGCCGAAACCAACACAGTCCTTACTGGTTTCTTATTCAACTCATACTCAAGTTTCATTGAATCGTATAGTACAAGGTTCTCATGTTTGAACAAAAAGTGGACCTTGAACGAAGAGTTGCTCATTTCAATCCATAGTGTTTTTTTATTAAAATCTTTAACTTATTTTCATAGGATGAAATTTCTTTACCACTGCTCTATAATCGTAAATACATATATGTATGTATGTATTTATGCACATTAGGCAGGGTCGTCAAATGCGATTTTTAAGCTACGATAGAAATTGGTCTACATGGTTTTAGAAATTTTTGAACTACTCGTACCTTCGAGCAAAAACGGAGTACAAAAACCGTTGTAGTTAGAAAACTGGAAATCGTTACTTTATCGAATAGAGAATTCAAATATCTGTAGTTTGCTATTCCCTTGGTCCGAAGCGTCAAAAAAGGTCTGAAATAAATCTGGGTGTTTTGGAAATGTCTCTAAACAGGTAAAACGTTCAACGCCTAAGAAATTGCAAAAGAGCAAATTGTATTCTCTTTAAACAGAGGTTGCACTATTTGGATTTCGTTCAAAAGTGGTGCACTACTTTTCTTAAATCATGTAGACAAATTTATAGCTTAGCTTAAAAATCTTATTTGAAGTCCGACCCTGCTTAACGTACACATATAAGTACATATTCGTATTGTGAAGAGATTAAGCCCTATCATTATCAATAAACTAATTGGAGTTATCGCCGCTTGTATTGGCAGACGATAATTAATATGTACAATCAATCAAATGGGCGGAAAAGAAATGCGGTTAAATGTTTTTTTTTGTTTGTGCAATCACTTTCAATTATTTATTATAGACAATTTTTAATGTTGTTCTCAAGCTCGATTAATATTTATTAGCGTTGTTATTGTTTGGTCATAATAGCTATATGTAGCAGACCGGGTTTGTGTGGTTGTCATTGGGGAAAAGTTTTTCCTTTATCAGTGGCTCAGCGACAGGCGACAGGCAATGACAGATCTCGAGGACATTTCAAGCTTGACGAAACTTCTAATAAAATCTGCTCTCTGTCACTTCATTTAAAATGTACATACGTACCTAGCTGCATACATAAATACATATGTATGTACATTAGGGTGGTCCAAAACGGCATGTGAAAAAGTAAAGTCGGATTTTTTATGCTTTCACCCCCAAGGATTGTTCTATATCGAAAAAAGTATACCCCTTTTTTATTTTGAAATCAAAAAATAATTAGAGGTCGCTCAAAGCGCCCAAAGTTTTCAAGGTATTTTATATGGGGAAAAAACAACTTTTCGAAGAAATGGTATATAATTCTTGAAAATTAATAATTTTCGATCGGAAAACTCTGGTTCTCTTCAGTTCAGTTCAATAATAATACCCAATTGCTTATTTAACCATTTTTTAATACTAACGGTTTTTTAATTGTTAAATAAACAATTGGGTATTATTATTGGGAATCTCCTGCAGATAAATGGAGTTTTCCATAGAAAAATAATGATTTTTAAGAATTCTATACCATTTTTACGAAAAGTGGTTTTTTGCCAATGTAAAATACATGGAAAACTTTGAGTGCTTTGAGCGAAATATATTAATCTATTTTTTGATTTCAAAATATAAAAATATGGGTATATTTGTTTCGGTATAAAACAATCCCAGGGGGGAGAGCAAAAGATGCCGACTTCACATGCATTTTTGACCCACTCTAATGTACATAGTATACCGAAGGCTTCATACCTTTAACGAACAATAGAAAATTTAACTTCAATTTAAGTCCTATTACTGCCTCATGAAAACAAACCTCTTTGCGCTCGGTTGGCCGTAAATCCGAATTCTGATGAAACTGAAAAGCGGCAGAAGAGGAATGAAATGCCGGCTGTTGGGCACAATTAAGGTTTAGGAGTGAGATTAAGATTAATAATAAGGTTAAGTTTAAGATTAAGATTACAATTAAGAAATCTGGATTAAGATTAAGACCACAATGATGAAAATGTGGATGATGATGAAGATGAAGATTAAGATGAAGATCAAAATGAAGTTGAAGATGAGGATGAAGATGAAAAAGAAAATGGAGATGAAGAGGAAGATGAATACAAAGATAGAGAGAAGTGTGTTCAGATTAAAATTGAAAGTAAAATTTGAAATAAGATAACTGCAGAAAAATACTCATACGGTGGCGGGCAAACAAATAGGGAGGCGACATTTTAACAAGTTTTGGCCATTTTTCTTTTGTTTATTTATGTTATTATTATTTTATAAAAGTTTAGCTCACTATATAACAAAAATCAGGTAAGTCAAAATTTCAAACTTGGTACAAGATTTATAAAAATTCGATGAATTCCAACAAATGATCATAAAAATTGCATAGCTTTTATTCAGAATTAAATTCTAGGTATGCAGTTTTGTAGCACATTTTAGTATAATAAAGTCAAAGCTGGAAGTAGCTAAAACTTGCCGCTGATTTTTCGCAATTTTTTTTCTTGCTCCCTCCATTTAAAAAGATGACAAATATGCTTTGTATGGAAGAAACTGCATGGCGCTGTCAGAAAAAAATGTATCCAAAAATGAAAGGTAAGTCACAGCCACTTCCAACCTGCACTGTGCTAAAATTTGATGTGCTTCAAAAATGCGCATACAAATTTTTTCTAAAAATTTTGATTCAAAAGTTTGAAGTTTTGATGAAATTTTGTCGAATTTCCCAGATTTTTGTACAAAGTTGGAAATTCGAAGTTATATGTTTTTGTTAGATAGTTAGTGCTTCCATAAAAAAATAATAAACATTAAATAATCGAAAGAAAAATAGCCAAAACGTGTTAAAAGGTCGTGTTCCTGTCCCTATTTATATTCCCACCACTGTATGTGTAATATGGTGAGATATGTCTTCGTTAAAGTTCTGAACACATTGAAAACGACGAGCTACGGACCACAGCTTCCAATTTATCATCTTCATTATCTAAACGCTTTGTCGATGGCGACATGATTTCTTTGAACGCGGCAGCGACATCATGAATTATTATGAGTTTGACATAAAAGAAGACGAAGAACCTTATCTGTCGCCAGAAAAATAGAAATAGATCTAATCTGGCCACAACCACAGCCGTCGCGTAGCCCGGTCGTCGCCAAAATAATTGTCTACATAAGAGTACGTGTTAAAAAAATTTGACAGCTGTGGTCCGCAGCTCGTCGTTTTCATTGTGTTCGGGCTATAAGAAGAAGTTTCATCTGCAGCCGACGGTATAGAAAAGGTTTGTCGACATACGCTATTTTGTTTATCCGCAAAAATGGATTTAAGTGGTTCTTTGAAAGGTCCATGATTATGTAAGTAAAATTGATTTTCATTTTGAACTTGTTATTGAGATTCGCACATACAGGAAACAATTTATTATTCCAACTACTTAGATGGAGGAGCTATATATGTATAACAAAAACTCATAACTAAACAAACAGTGGCACGGTAGATATGCCTTATAAAGCACCGATCTCAATCGTAAATGGTAGGCCCTCTATTATCTATACAGTGTCCAACAAAGGTATTAGTACAGAGAATTTTTCGAAATGTACGCAAAATTTTTTATTCTAATTCGCTAATTATTTATAAAAAAAATATGTAGTTCATACTACAACAAAAAGCATACGATCTCTTTATGCAAAACTCGGGAAAATTAAACAAATTTGCAGTGTTAATTTGTAAATCAATGCGATTTTCATAGCAGCTTCAAACTTGCATTTCACTATACTAAAATTGAATGGGCTATACAACTGCAGACTCTAAAAAAATCTGATTAGAAAGTTGCAAATTAGTATGAAAATTTATTAAATTTTCCTGAGCTGTACACAAAGTTTAGAGATTTTAATTTTATGTTTTTCGTTGTAGTATGAACTATTTATATTTTTATAAAAAATTTGCGAAAAGAAATTAGAGTAAAAAACTTTGCATATGTTGCCAAAAATGCTCTGTGCCAATACTTTTGATCATCACTGTAAGTTAACAGACCACACAACGGCATGGCTTTAGCTGCCTACTTTAAGGAACAATCAGTGATATGAGAGATATACCTTATAGATACATACGGATATTAATGATTTTCTCAGTAGATCTTGTATGATTAAATAGTAAATAATCAATGGAATTGCATGGCTTCAGCTGTCTAAATGAAGAAATTTTTAAATAAAACCTAGGTTAGGTTAGGTTAAGGTGGCAGACCCGCAAAGGGGACTCACTTAGACATTTGATTGTCCATTGTGATACCACATTACATAGGAACGGTAACTGCGTAAAAATTACGAGAAGCGCTGGGTGCTCATAATGAAGTTCTTCAAACAGCTGATGTCCACTCCGGAGAGTCCCTCGGGAGTGTCGATGAAATGCGCACCGAGATGCTTAAACCGTAATCTAGCGAATGCCGGGCAGTTGAGTAGGAAGTGCTGAGATGATTCCACCTCGTCTTCCAGGCAACTGCGGCAGTAGGGATCCGTGACGATATTGAGTCGCACCGCGTGGGTTCCCATTGGACAGTGTCCGGTCAGTACACCTGTGAAAATCGAGAGCTGACGCTTAGCCAGCTGCAGCAGTTCCCTTGACCGCCCGCGGTCCACAACCGGCCAGAAGGACCTTGCAACTCTGCAAGTCGGGGTTTTTTCCCAGCGCTCGCTGAGCCGACCATGAGCCCATCTGTCCAAAAGCAGGCTGCAGGTTGCCAACGGAACTCCAATGCCCTCCCTATCCGAGGTGATGGCCTCAAAGGTGCCTTGCCTGGCCAGTTCATCAGCCCTGCAATTTCCCGCGATATCACTGTGCCCCGGGACCCAAATCAGCTTGATCTGGAAGTACTCCGAGGCAGTTGAGAGAGAGGTCAGGCATTCCCCAACCAGTTTTGAGCACACCATTAGCGATCCCAGCGCCCTGATTGCCGCTTGGCTATCAGTATATATATTTACCCTCCTTTTTGACAGTACATTGGTGCGTAGCCAATCGGCTGCCTCCTTAATAGCGGCCACCTCTGCCTGAAAGACGCTGCAGAGATCCGGCAGTCTGAAAGTAAGATCTACTGAGAGTTCCTGACAGTAGACACCTCCTCCAATTCTCCCTTCCAGCTTCGATCCGTCCGTAAAGATGATTATTGGACCTCTTCTCCAGAGACCACCCCTCTTCCATTCATTCCTAGAGGGGATGTGCGTGGAGAAGGATCCTTTAGGGGCCAGCCTCGGGTGACCCCGGTCCATTTCTTTCGGCACGAAGTCGAAGCTTTCGAGAATTGTCGAGTGTCCGTGCGCTGGATTGAAAGAGAACCCAGAGCTTTTGAGCCTAATGGCTGAGCGAACCGCCGCTACTTTGCCCGAAATATCGACGGGTGCGACATTGAGTATAGCGTTTAGCGCTAAGGTGGGAGTGGTTCGGAGCGCCCCGCTGATCCCAACCAGGGCTGCCCTTTGCACGCGCTCTAGCTTCCTAACATGAGTGGTCTTTTCCAGTGAACTCCACCAGACGATGACCCCATACAACATTATTGGCTTAATTATGGTTTCATATAGCCAATACATCACTTTTGGGGAGAGGCCCCATCTCTTCCCTATGGCATTCTTGCAGCAGTAGAGGGCCACCGATGCCTTCCTCACTCGTTCCTCAATATTAGGTTTCCATGACAGTTTTCCGTCCAGGATCACGCCCAAGAACTTGACCCTGTCAGAGAGAACAAGTGGAACACCCCCTATTGAGGGAAGCTGGGCATGAGGCTTTTTGTACCTCCTGGTAAAAGGAACGAGCTCCGTCTTTCCAGGATTGACAGCAAGCCCGCAGCTAGCGGACCAATTTGTGACCCTGTTTAGGTACCCTTGCATGAGATCGTACAGAGTGTTCAAGAACTTTCCTCTGACGATGAGTGCCACGTCATCCGCGTAGGCAATAACCCGGCATCCTGTCCTCTCCAATTCCTCCAGGACGTCGTTTATCACGACTATCCAGAGGAAGGGTGAAAGGACGCCTCCCTGCGGGGTGCCTCTGCTTACTTTACGCTGCTCAGAGGCGTTGCCCCATTCCGCTGTGACAGTTCTGTCGTGCAGCAAGTGTGAGATGAGCCTTACTAAGTAGCTCTCGACTCCGAGCTTAGTAAGGGCTCTTATTATCGCCCCAGGAAGGACATTATTGAAAGCCCCCTCGATATCAAGGAAGGTACCCACTACAAAATCTTTGTTTTTAAGAGACTCCTCTATGGTTTTGACGATTGAGTGCAGGGCAGATTCCACGGATCTACCTTTCAGGTAGGCGTGTTGAGAGGGGCTAAAACG